TTCTTTCATTACCAAGTTTTCTGTGCTTGGTATAATTTAAGACATTTTTTTGATTTCTCAACAATTACTAATGATACTGACTTTTCTGTACAATTGTTAGGGTTTAGATAGAGAATGTCTTCTGAAAATCTCCTATGTTTAGATATGGGCCTTTAGGAAGGCGATTGGATCATGAAGTGTGATACTCATCGTGAGTTCGTGCAATGATGAGTTCATGGCTGAATGTGATGTCAGAAGGTGTGGCCTGCTTGGCAGTGGTCACTGGGGATGTGACCTGGAAGGCTGTACCCTTGTTTTGGGCTATTCCCTCCTCTCTCTGCTTCCTGGCTGCCGTGACATGAGCAGCTTTCCTCCACCATCCCCTCTGCCATGCCATTTCTGCCTTGGAGCCAACCCACCATGGACTGAACCCTCTGAAACCATGAGCAAAAACAAACTTTTCCTTCAAGTTGCAAGTGTTGGGTATTTTGTCATAGTGACAGGAAAGTGACTGATGGATTGATAGGGTGCTGCCTTGTTAGCAAGATTCTCAAGGCCCTCCCTGACTGACCCACCCTCCTCCTCTATCATCCTGTATTTCTGTGCTCCCCGCACAACTCCTGTGCATTTCTTGCTTTCCCTCAACATACCAGGCACTTTGTGCCTCTGGGGCAGAAGATAGGGTGAGCTGTTCCAATGAACCTTGGTTCTTTACTTCTTTCAGGAATGTTGTGGCTTCAAGCTCAGACCAAACCCTCCTGAAGATGATGCTTTTTCTCCTGGCTGGGAGCAGCTGCTGCTTCTCTGGACTTCCACATTGCTTGGATGTCACAGACTGAGATGTGTGGGCTGTGGCCATGGCTGCCTCCCTCCATGGCTTCTCTGGGTTGTGGGCTCTGCCTTCTGCATTTTCCTCAGGTCCTGGAATACCGCACATAGTTTCTTACAAGAGGAGTCATAGGTTAGGTGAGAGGGTCCAAGCCACATGGGCACCTAGAGGCAGCAGAAGCTTTACCCCAGGTTCAATCCCACACCTGCACATAGGCAAAGGTGACATGAAGGCTGGGGTACATTCTGCTGTCCCCTCCCCTTTCTCCCTTGTGTAGCTGGGAAGAAGGTGGGGCCTGTTGGATTCTGTGGGCCCTTGTGAACCCCTCTCTATTCCAGTGGGGTGGGACAGGGCAAGAAAAGGATCCTGAGATGTCATGAGCCATGGAGGAAAGCAGAGAGATGCTTCTGGAGCTCTCCATAGAGATAAACGGCGCATTGGGACTAAACCATGACACCTGGGCCCCAGCACACTGATCTGCGCCTCAGTGGAGCGCAGGGGGACCATGGCACATGCCAGGGACTGGGGCTTCAGTCTCACTGTCCTTCCCCTGCTGAGGTCCCTCAGGAGTGTTTACACGGTGAGAACATCCAGGCAGGTGACCAAAGAGGTGACAAATGCAGACTCTCCAAGCCCTAGGTGGCATTGCTTTAGGGGACAGCAGGTAGCTATGAGTGGGTTTAGGATGGGAGTGACCCCATGAGGACAGTGGGGTGCGGCGAGCCCTGAGCCACATGTTGCATGCTGAGAGGCTTGGACTGTCCACTGCAGTTGTCCTTTGAGCCTGCTGGGAAGAGTGATGCCCATGGACAGGTTGGAGAAAGACACCGTCATCCCCTCTACCAGTGGCCCTCTTTGTTGGCAAGGGTGTTTGCTCTCGAACATACAGGGCAGAGGGTGGAGATCGGCCCCCCAAAGGAGAGAGGAGTGGTCAGGTTTTATGTAATTTTATTTTTTCCAAATAAATATTATTAAAATGTAAAAGAAAGTGAGACTGAATTCCTATACTCTTGAAAGAAATTGTATAAAAATATTTTAACATATACAGTCACTCTTCTATATCCATGGAATCCCTATCTGTGGGTTCAACCAACCACATGTGGAAAATATTCAGGAAAAGTTGTATCCATGCTGACATGTGGATACTTTTCCTTGTCATTATTCTCTCAACTATTGTAGCACATCAAGTATTTACATAGACTTAGATTAGATGAGGTATCACAAGGAACCTGGATGTGATTTAAAGTATATTCAAAGATCTGCATAAGTTATATGCAAAAACTACACTATTTTATATAAGGGACTTGTGTATTCCTGAATTGTGGAATCTGAAGGGAGCAAAATAAATCTACACTGAACATGTTCTTTGTATAAATAAATGTATTTCAGCAAGGTAACTTTTAGTTTCTAAAGCTTCCAGGAACATTTCTAAATATACCAAAACGTAACCGTTTCTCTCTTGCTCGGCCCTTAGGGTGTTTCCAGTGTTTTGCTATTATCAACACTACACAGAACACCCTTAAAAATAAATCATTGTGCACATCCTGTTACTTCTTTAGGATAGATTTCTAAAAGTGGGATTGCTAAGCACATTTTTAAAGACATTTGAAATGTGTGGGTGAATTGGTGATCAGAAAAGTTGTAGTGATTTATCCTTGCAGTGGTGATAATCAACAATGGCATTTCTTTCACCAGCTAGAAGTGAGAATGTTTGAGGTAAGGACATCACAGGTTGAGAAGTTGGTCTCTGGGATCAGGTGCACAATCTCTTGAGGGGAAATCGGATGAGCCAGGATGACCGTGGTTTAGCAGAGGACAGAATGAAGGGGTGCACTGAGGGATGCCAGGCTTCACTTCTCTTCAGCTGTCTTCCTCAGGTATCATTTCCCTGTTGAACATGGAGCCTGTGACTGGCAGGCAAGATTTTTGTTTATTCATCGTTTTGGGATGCTCTGGTTCTACCACCATACAGAGAGGAAAATCCATTTCCACAATGAGCTGGTTCTGAGATTCCATGTTGGTAAAAGCAAAGCAAAGCAAACAAAGGAAGGGTTTTGGCTAATGCCCAGCAGTGGAACTTTCCTGGACAGACTTGGATCCGATTGGGAATTGCAGGGGGTTTCTGTCTGTGAGGGTGTTGGAGCTGTCCTCAGCTCAGAACCCAAGATAAACAGCCTTTGACTTAAGGGTGTCCTAAATCCTTAATATAATCTGCTTTTGTATAAGAAGGGATCCTGAGATGCCATTTTAAAAGGCCAGAAAACTGACCTCTGAAAACCGTCTGGTATTTTGAGCATTTATCCATGAAAGCAAAATCCTGACCCAAGGCAAAGACCACTCGGAACGTCAATGAGCTGGACCCCGCAGTGCTCCAGAGCCGCATGTTAGTTTGTGATGTCCCCAAGCATTTGGGTTGCTGTGGGTGTGCACACCTTTCTGTCAACACCACCACTTGCATTTTTGTAGATATTTTCTTTGTGGAAAGCCCTTTAGGGTTCCATTCCCATGCTTCCACTGTTGCTTTAGAGTGAATTAATTGCTGCGCTGTTGGCTGAACTCCAATCCTTGGGTCAAGTTGAAGTTGCAGGTGCCCTGGCACTGGTCCAGATCCACAATTCCCCAGTGTAAATGGGTGTCCTGTGGAACGTGTGCTCTGGTCACCATGTGTCTGATTCTGCATCTCTGCTGAAGTCCAGGACTGTCAGGGTGGAGGACCACACTTTGAGTCGTGAGGTGGCGGGCAGGTGGGCTGAACCTTGGCCGCTGTCTTAGTCACTTTCTTGTCACTGGGACACAGTATGTGACACCCACAACTTAAAGAAGAAAGGCTTGTTTTGCCCCACTTTTTTAGTCCATGGGTAGCTGCCTCCAAGGCAGAAATGTCATGGTGGAGGGGTCTGGTGGAGGAAAGCTGCTCACACCATGGTGGCCAGGAAGCAGACAGAGAGGGAGAAGGAGATGCACGCTTCCGCTCATGCTCACACCCCAGTGATCCGCCTCCTCCAACCAGGACCCACGTCCCAACAGCAAGTCACCTGCACACCCCCATACTTTAATCACTTTCCAAAACCCCCACCTCTGAGCAAATGAGGCTCTAGGGGGGACAGTAAATCTAAACCATAACAGCTGCTCAATAAAATCACCAGGGGGAGCTTCTCACACTGTTGGTGTCCAGGCTGCTTTCCACCTTAACAATCCAGCATCGGCCTGGTGAACAAGGCACGCATAATTTTTCAGTCTCCCCAAAGAACCCCAGGGCACGGACCAGTGCAGACTCCCGGTAGACAGGAAGCCAGAACTCCCCTGAGAGCTGGCTCTTTCCTGCAAGGAAGGCCCACAGCTGCATACTGAGTACTATATCTGCCTGAATTAACTTGGCTACATCTTGAAAACAGAGTGCTGAGTGCCCAAGGCATGGCAGATGTTAACTTGAGAACCACAGCATCTGAAGTTGCTGTGGTAAGAGTATTGAAAGATGCACAGGAATGATGTGTGCATCTGCTTCAGGACAGGGGTGACTTCCCGAGTGTCCAGGAGGAGAGTGGAATGGAGGGAGAGGAAGCTGGGCTCTGCTCAATTTGAATTTTTTTTCTTGTAATACTAGAGATTCAACCCAGGGCTTTAGCACTCAGCTACATCCCCAGCCTTCTTTATTTATTTATTTATTTATTTATTTATTTTGTTTGTTTGTTTGTTTGTTTGTCTGTTTTGAGACAGGGTCTCACTAAATTGCCATATTGTCCAGGCAGGGCTTGAACATGCTATCTTCCTGCCCCAGCCTCCCTGAGTGCTGGGATTGCAGGTGTGCGCCACTGTGCCCAATTAACTTTTCTTTTCATATAAATACACCGCTAATTTTTTAAGGAAGGAAAATTTCCTTTTATTCTCCCACGCTTTTTAAAGAAAACATTAAAATGAAGAATTTAAAAAGCCCGATTCCTACAGGAAAACATATCTGAGCCGCAAAGGGAGCCACTGATATGAATAGCCCCGTCTTCCAGGACAGCCCTCCCCAGGAGCACGCTGGGTGGACGTGACTCGGTTTTTCTCTTCCCCTCAGGATGTCCTTTTGACACTTGTGCGGCTGGCATTTCTGGGGGCTGCTCTGGGGGGGGGGGCAGTCCCGCCGGAGTCCACTCTGCCAGGGAACTTGTCTTCCAGAGTTGATCGAACGCATTTTCTGCCCTTTCAGACCCTACACTGTGGAGCACAGACCACGTCCGGCAGTGGCTGGAGTGGGCAGTGAAGGAGTACAGCCTCCCGGACGTGGACGTCTTGCTGTTCCAGAACATCGATGGGAAGGAGCTCTGCAAGATGACCAAGGACGACTTCCAGAGGCTCACCCCGAGCTACAACGCTGACATCCTCCTCTCCCACCTCCACTACCTCAGAGAGAGTAAGCGCCTCCCTCCCCTGGAAGCCACGCTTGTCCCCAGGCTCCCCCGGACCTGACTTCCGAGGTCTCTTCCTGCCCTCACCCAGTGTCCTGTGCAGGACGGGGGGGGGGGGCGACACAGCAGAACGTCACGACGCAGGCTCATGTCACTGCTGAGAGGCAGTCAGTGCTCTTCTGTGAAGCCCAAGGGTCACCCCAGCCCTTGGCGGGCTGCTTTCGGCTTTCTGCCACCAGGAGGGGGCAGGTCATAGACAAAGGTCGCACACTCGCCAGTCTCACGATGCCCCACCTGAAAGAGAAGCAGTGTGGAAAGGCACCCACTTCGTAGGAATGGTGGAGTTTCTTCCCCAGAGCTAAGCCTAGGTCCCTTCTTGTCCAGCCGGGCCACAAACTGAGGCAGGTGTTTCCGCTTGGCCCCGATGCAGAGGGGAACGGCGCAGTGCGGGTAGAGGCATGAATCCAGAACTTGTGCTGCATGCTTTAATTTGGACAATGCCAAGCATGGAGGGAAGGGGAGAGGAGAAGGAAAAGGTGGGGTGGAGGGAACCCCTGGGTCGCTTTGCCTGGCAGCCCAACCATTTCTCCCCTGGAAAAGACACCCTGTTGAGGTTTTAACATGGTAACCAGCAGCTAGGTGATGGTGTTTCCAGCACTCCAGGATGTCAGGGTGGCGGTGAGGTGTTTTTCTTTCTTCTTTCCTTCCTTTCTTCTTCCTTTTTTTTTTAATTTAAAAAGATAATTCTCTCTCTTTTTCATTTTGATGTTGCTTTTTGTTTTGTTTTGTAGCTCCTCTTCCACATTTGACTTCCGATGATGTTGATAAAGCCTTACAAAACTCTCCGCGGTTAATGCATGCTAGAAACACAGGTAATGCTGGCCCCGCCCTGCCCCAGGGTAAGCAGGGTAAACACGGGGTCCGTCCCTAGGGTTTTTGGTGCAGCTGCCTGCTTTCCGGTGAAGCCCTCAGTCAGCCGCAGCATCAGAAGGCAGAACTCGGAGGTGGATGCCTGACCGCTCCCGGTGGGGAAGCCCTGGGGTGCCCGGACACCTCCTCCCGCTCCTGGGCTGTCAGAAGTTTCCCTTAAACTAGAGTCAGCCAGATTTGCAGCCTCTCTGCTGGATCACGACCTTGCACTATTAGTGCCAATATATCCACTGTGCTGACTGTAGAGACTGAAAGCGTGTGTGGCAGAACAAGGCCCCACGTAATCTCCGGTTTCCCCCCATTTTTTATTCCCAAAGGGAGGTTCACTAGGACAAGTTGGAGTTGTGTTTTTCCTCTCTGATACACCTTTAGGCCATCGGACTTGTCTTTACTTACAGTGCTGGTGCAGACTTGTAGATTTGCAAAAGGCTGTAGGAGGCGATGTTCCTGTGAGCTTCCGTGAGAATCCTTGGGGTATCTGAAGTTAGTCACTCACGATGCCTCCTTTGCTGTTTCTAACCGCCAGTCCTGCATTGGTTTCTACGTGTGCCTGAGCCTTGTAGGGCTTAACATAGTGCTCTGTCCCCGCTAACCTCAGCCCTGTGCCACCGGCTGGCAGGCAGGGCTGGCTTCTCTGAAAGGTGCTCTTGGTTTGTGTCTGCATCCGCTGCCTCCCGCTGATTGAGTCAGTACAGAAGCATGGCCGTGAGCTGCTACCCCTGGGTTGGCCTAGGGGACCCTCTGAAGCCACCCAGGCTGGTTGGAAGACAAGAATGGCCGAAGGCTTTGTAATCATTCGCAATCAAGAAGCCAACTCCAGGGCTGGCCCCACAGAGAAACACAGCAGTTTTCCAAATATTCGCCCTTCTGTTTTAAAATGTGCAGTGTGAACGAGTCTCAGTTTGAATATTGCCACGAAATTGCCAGTTCATCTTTATCTTCTTTATGCAGAATATTTGCTTTAAATGTAATATAAAACAAAAAGGTTTGAGTTGGTAGTACACCTTTTTGGTTCATGTAGTATGCATTGACCTGTTAGGGATCTTGGGGCCAGAAATAACCAATAACTTAGACAAAGTAATTTCCCCCTCTTAGGAAACACATTTGAGCAATACCCATATTCTGCACTTTATGTTCATGTACACTGTTTATGAAAATCTTTAAAAGTGAGTGAAAATTTCAAAAAAGCTCTGATTTCACTAATTTTATTATTGTTACACACAGAAGTAATAAAAGAACAGGACAACAAATTCCAAATGGACTGAACACTGCAAAGGGAATTTTCTTGGCTGACAAAACGAGAGTTGATTGAAAGAGAAAATGTGCATTTGAAAAGAGACATGGATTAATTTTTAATAAGATCCATATAGTCTTAGGTGAAATATTTGTAATTCTTTGGTTCTACTTTCCAAGAGCTCTGAAAACTATTTTGTGGGATTTTCTACAATTTGGGGAAAAAAAAAGCACCATAGAATTTTTTAATGGAATGAGGTTGCCGGTGGGAATCGGAGGGCGCAGTAAAGCCCTACCGGTCACAAATGGGGTGCAGCGGCACCTCAGAGGCCCTCTCTGCTCCCTCTCTGCTCCCTCTCCTGCTCCTTGGGCCCACGAGGTCTCAGGCAGGCTCCAGAGTCCCCTCCTGCCAGGCCCCAGGGCAAAGTAGATTTGGCGCTGATGCTGACGCTGAGTTGGCAGCCACGACAAAGACCTTCACGTGTTTTGTTTTTCCTTCTGTCTGCAGGGGGTGCGACTTTTATTTTCCCCAATACTTCAGTATATCCTGAAGCTACGCAAAGAATTACAACTAGGCCAGGTATGCCAACAGCCCCGTGTACTCGCTCCACGGACAGACATCCACCCGCCCCAGGTCCTGCTGAGACCCCCCCGGGACCTAGGTCCCCTGATAAAACTGCCGATCCTGGGTCTGACATGAGTCTCCAGAAGTCTGATTGCTTCCTCTGTTGATTTGCAAACTAAATCCAGTCCAACTGCTGCATTCAGAGACTGCACTAAAGGTGTTGAACCTCTCTGGATTAGGGGCAAATTAGTGCCTTCCCAGCTGCTCTGGAGACAGGCAAAGAATAAGGAAGATGTCCACTTTCCAGCTAATGGAGGGATTCGTGTGCCATCTGTCCCCAAAAAGCAAGAGGGACCCCCAAGCCAGCAGTGACCAAACCCCCCAGCTTCTCATGAGAAGCTTACAGAGCAGAAGCATGAATACGTAATATTTAGCTCTAAATCTTACCTTGTTTCTTTCCATGTAATTTCTTTAATTCGGAAATTACATGTCATTCATGCAAAAATAAACATGAAGCAAGCATCTATTAGTGCCAAGCATGAAGTTAGATTCTCAGAATTTCAAGATGAACCGGACTCTGAAAAGCTGTCCGTCTTAGGAATGTTTGTGGGAGCTGGGAGTGGGAATGTGGGAATGGTGGTGTGCGCTTGTAATCTCAGGACTCTGGGAGGCTGGAGCAAGAGTAATGCTGGTTCAAGCCCAGCCTGAAAGCTGGCGTGGCCACTCGACTTGGCTTGTTTGTTTTTTGGCTGCCTCTTGCATGCCAGCCACAGAGGGCACAGTGGTGAGTGAGCTCAAATGTTTGCTTAGAGCTCTAGATGTTTCAATAGAACAAGTGGGAGCTAGAGAGACAGACGGGGACTTGTACATGTTTAACCTAGTGCTGGATTTTGCAGTATAGGCAGGCAAGTAACTGCAAACTCCAGAGGCCATTGGTGCAGAAAGGAAAGAACATAGCTCAAAGAGCAGAAATGGTGGCTTTGCAGGGGAATGGACACCTGCCATGGGAGGATCCCACCTGTGCGAGGGTGGGGGAGGATGGAGGGGGAGGGCTTTTCAGAGTGGGGTGTAGTAGCCCCTATTCTGTCCCCTCAGTGGGACCTCTGACAGCCCTGGGCAGTGTGATCAGACTGCCTTAGCCATACATAGGTCTAGAACTCAGGCCTCCGTCCTAGGCCTGAGCCACCCCCAGGATGAGGTTAGTCACATGTCTGGATTGTGCACATCTTGGCTGGTCAAGATGCTAGGCTGGAAGCTCTTTCTTTCCAGTGGGGAACCCGGGGCCAGAGGGTCCAGCAGAAGAATAAAGAATCCTCCCAGCTGCTCTTAGCCTGTCACTGCCCTGTGACAGCCATGGGCGCTTAGGGCTGGCAGTGCTCTCTTCCCCAGCCTAAGGGAACGGCTCACTTCCAGTCCCGGGAGGCAGCCAGGAAGGGCATAGCCAGAGCATCCCAGAGTCCTCCCTGCCACCATGCCAGGTGTTCATAGCCACGGAGACTCTTTCCAGGTTGGTTACCTCTGTCCTGCTAGAGGCCATTTCAGTGTGTCTGCGGGAAACTAGACTGGCCCTGAAGAATCCTGCCATGTACCAGGGCTGATCAAAATATACAGTGAATGTCTAAATTTTAAAAAATAGTTATTACAGTGAAAGACGCATTGCCACGAATCTCCCTTATAATCCTCTGCCTCCTTTGGAACACACTGACCCCATCCTCCTGGCTACTTTCTGAAGCAGCTCTTGAAGTCCTTTTTTGTGAGTGTCTTTACTAGGTATGATAAAACATATGGTGAGTGCTGCTGCTGAGTGTCATCTGGTGGAAAGGCAGCTCGTGAAAACATGACACTGTGTCCTTGTTCACCTGATTGACCAGATCTGGCACCATGTGACTTCTAGACCTTTGTCAAAGTCGAAACTACCATGAGAGGGAAATGTTTTGAATAAATTCAGGACACTGAGGCAGTCACAACCCTGAAGACAGTCAGGAAAGAGGACTCCAGAGCTGCTTGAGAGAGTGGCAAGAATGATGGGATAGTGTGTTCGAAGGGAGGAGGAAGATTCTGAGGGGGATTCATGGCAATGATTCTATTCATACTTTAAAGAAACATTTGGCCTTTAACAATTAACTTACTCATTTAAGAAATTTACTTAAGCTGTCTCATGGATGTCACCATCTGAGCTGCAAGGCTGGGGTTTGTGAGCTGCTGTTGGGACAAGGTTAAAAGTCCTTGACATTGGCCAAATCAGTTGGTGCAGCCTGTTGGGCTATTAGCCAGCTGGCTGCTCCATGCCCCAGTGGACTCTGGGCCTACTTTTTCAGTATTTTAGGCAATCCAGAAACGTGGTCCTCCCAGGTGTATGGAGATGGCTGGACTCAGCCTAGGACAGGTGAGGGTGGTCAACTGCACACGACGCCGTCACTCTGATGTGCCCCGTGGTGGTCCCGTCACGTGCCCTGGGAGAGTGCACACTCCCCATTCTCCAACGCTAGCCCACTCTGTCTCTGAGACTCAGCTCGCATCAGAGGACATGTCTACTTTGCTCACTGCCTCTGTCATTATGAAAGGAAATACAAATACTCATATCAGATCTGTGAAGAATTGTAAATCCAGCTGAACAAGCCAGAGGACCGTTTCCCAGAGGCTGCACTCAGGGATTTGACCTTGGAGAAGAGAATAATCTGCTGACCTGGTCCATCCAGGTCATCACCCTTGTAGGAGGGGCTGGTGGCTCTGACAGTCTGGATGGTGCACATGGCATCAGGGTGGCAGAGTTTGCCTGGCTCATTCCCAGAGCTGCAAGAGTCAGAATGGAGGGGCAGGGGGAGTCTGTGCTGCCCCTGCGGTCAGTAGTATCCAGTCCTTTCAGAAGAGGTGAATGTTTATCGACTGCTTCGTAGAGAATCCCTGGAGATAGAGATCCAAGTCCTGCCCCCTGCCCCCTTCGTCTTCCTGGAGCGCTCTTCATAGCCACTCCATCTCAGTCCCACATCCAGAGACAAAGGACTCTGGGTGCCGACCCAGGAGCAAGCCAGGCCCGCAGGTAATGACTCTGCTTAGACCAGAATCTATCCCTTGTCTGACGGAAGAAACATAATGGTCTTGAGTTGCACTGGTTTGAATGAGATCGTGTTCTCTTCTCACCAGCCCAGCTTGCTTCCTGCTCCTCCTTCCCCACCTCCTTCCTTTCCGTCCTTCCTTGGGTCACCTGGTCCCAGGCTGCCTCCCCCAGCCCCAGCCTACTTCTTCCCTTGTTCATGACCAAGCTTTCCAAATGGAGCGTCTGTTGCTTACCCGATGGGTTGACATTTCAGCCCCATCTTATGGTCGGCCAAGGCTGTTCAGTGAGCTTGCAGGCAACCACCTGGGACACTCTTTCCTCTCCTGCGTTCATTCCTCACCTCTTCTTTTCCACTGCTTGTTCCTGGTACTTTCCCGAGTCTTCCTGATGCAAAACGTACCTTCCTCCATGGCCACTTTGTGGAACTGGCACTTAGCTTGGCCCCTCCTTTTATAACACACAGACACATCATTTTCCAGTCTGGTTTTATGATCATTATTTTATGATACTTTCTGTGTTTCTCAGGTTTATGCAATTATTAGCCAAAGTCTTTCCTCAACTCCTCTGTAACACTCACATCCTTTGCTAAATCCAGGCTCAGGGTAAAGCGGCAGAAATGGGGACAGGTGTGATTCACATAGTCTTGCAAGCCTTGCAAGTGTTTGACCTCATGAGGCACCACTCTGCCTGGCCTCTTAGGAGCAGGTCACGTGAAAGATCACATTCTACTACCTCTTCCTTTCCCCCTTCATCACCATGACAACCCAGACACCATGATATGCATGTGGGATGTTATCAAAAGGGACCAGAGGGTGTAACCTGAACTTTGAGGCTGGCGTTCTGTCAGTTTCTTAACTCACTCCTCCACTGGAGCTCAATGGAACTTGGTGCTGCTCTGTGACAGAGCGTAGCAGGCCAGGGCCACCACTCCTCCTCAGTGAGAGGCTTTGGAAAGCCTGTATCTTAGCAGAAGGCTCCAAACGCTTCTTTGCTTCCCCCTACCTCTGCTATCCCCACGTAGCTCTGCACACAAAGACAAGAAAGGAATGCAGGTGGTCTCCAAATCTCCATGTCATTGATACAGGATTTTGAAGAACTCTAGAAAGATCTAGAGGAAGATAAGAGAGAGCAGCTTAATCATGCCAAGGTTGACTCTGTACATTCCTTCTGTTTCCCAGGCATTTATAGACTGGTTCTGGGCAGTAGTTCTTGGTCTTCCTAAGTTGTCTTCCCCAGCACAGAGTGAAGACAAACCTGGCCCCTTCCCATGCAGCCTACCAGGGGCCTCAAGGTTGCTGTGACAGATGGCATGGGTCCTGGAGAATGAGCGTGAGCTCCAGCACTTGAGAAAGGAAGTGGATACTGGAGGGGGAAAGGGCTGCAGGGCCCCTCTCCTGTGAGGTGGATGAAAGGAGAGCACAAACCTAGTGGAACCTGACCCTCGTGGGAAGCCCAGCCAGGATGCTGTGCTGATCCGTGGGCGGTGGGGCAGGGGCTCACCCAGAGTCAGAAAGCGATCCCAGCATCCCGGAAATTAACGAAGGCCCTAGTCGGGGGAATGAGCAGCAGCCAGGCCCTCTCTTTGTATCTTAGTGGTTTTACTTGTCTGAATTGTGGCACACGGGATGCTTCTGTGGTTACCCCAAGCTGCCTATGAAAGCGCATTTACAGAGTTCAGTTTTTATGTACAGAGCTTCTACAGATAAAATCACAGGAGGAATGCCAGAGAGCAGCCTTCCTGTACACAGGACCTTCTGCCAAGTGTATGAGTTCATTACCAGAAAGATAAAACTGAAGAGAAATGGAGAAGGTATTGAAATGATTACCAGAGATTAATTGTATAATCAATTCTTTTTGTGTGTGTGGTACTGGGGATTGAACCCAGGGCTTTCACACTGAACTATATCCCCAACCCTTTTTTTTTTTTTTTCAGACAGGTTCTCCATAATTTGCCCGGGCTGGGCTTGAACTTGGGACCCTCCTGCTTCAGCCTCCCAGAGTCTGGGATTCCAGGCATGGGCCACCACGCCAGGCTTGGAATCTATTTTATTAAAAGTCCTATGCTCTGCTATCAGTAATAACAGAAAAACATGGATTAGTAATTTTTCAAGCAGCCGAGAGAGAGAGAGAGAGAGAGAGAGAGAGAGAGAGAGAGAGAGAGAGAGAGAGAGAGAGAGCGTGTGTGTTTCTCATGAAATTCTCAAAACGGGCTCCGCTTTGGGGCAGTGTAGCTGATAGCATGGTCACCCTGGGTGTCCCTTGTACAGCCAGGCTACTTTTTGTTTCCCATGTCACCTCCCACAGGAGCGTGTGACCAGCCACTGATAAGGAAGCCCTGGCCCGGAAAGTCACAGCAAGTCACAAAAGAAAACAAGAGCCTGCTTATCTCCCAGGACACTGTATTTATGAACATGTTAATCACCGTCCATACAAACATGGCAACTACTTGGCTGAAAGTTAGACTGGACATTGTTGAGGTCCCGACTTATTTTTAAGGGAGGTGGGGCATGAGGTTATTCCTCTTACAAAGGATTTTATGAATAAAGAGGTTCAAAATATTTTTGTAGTTGTAGTTGGAGGTGTAATTTTTTCCAGTGACGTTTCATGAGCAGGGCCTTTTCTGCTTTAACCAGTTAGTGTCTGACTGCTGCCCACAGGCCTTGTTCCTGGTTTTACACCTCAGGTAAAAGCAGTCACCCAGAGCACTTCATGGATTTTTAAAATTTTTTAAATTTTTACTGCATGCTCAGGATAGCGTTTCTGAAATCATGATCTGCAAGAATGCAGATTCCTGGAAAAACGTGGAAGCTCTCCCCTCGGTATGCAGCCAGGTTACCTGATCCGGACTCAGCAGGCACAAGAGAAGGTGCCAGATTTCTAGAAAACTCCCAGGTGCCTCTGTGCTCCGGGCCACACTCTGAGAGCCTGAATCAAGAACCTGTTTTGATAGTATCTCGCCTTTCCCTTTTGTAAATAGGAGCCCTCCCGGCTTCTGAGTCAGGTGACGTGTTAGGGTGGTCTTGTTAATAGCGTCTGTTTTCTGAGACAAGTCTCTCATTCAAACTCTGGCTAACCATTTTTTTTTTTTAATAAAAACTGTAACTGGCCAAGAATCCCTGTGCAAAACGCTCCCAGGGACTGAAGCTGAATTTAGTTGTAAATTGATAGCGGCTGCATGTGTAATTCCCATGTGTGGTCCCAACCCCAGAAAAGTGAAGCTGTGAGGGGCTGGGTGGGAAAATCAAAGATCCTAAAATGCAAAATTACCAGCTGAGAGGGAGGGTGAGTGACAGTAGAGTTTACAAAGAAAAATCATCTAACCCTTCAAAGCTCCGGAGGGTCAGGTTTCCCAGACCACACTAGTGGAGAGCTCGTGGCCAAACAGACCAAATGCATTAAGGCGATTCTGTGCTGAATATTGGATTGCATATCATTTCTGTCCTCTCTGGGATAGGAAAATAGGAAAAGACACATATTCTGCAACATAGTCAGGCTTTGTGAAGTCAGGACCCACCAAACTGCCAGGCTAAAATAAGGTTAAGTGATATGTTTAAAGAGAGGCTTAAAAATAATCACATTGCCCAGCCCTCCAAGTGAATTTGCATAGCCACCTCCCAGGGTCTGGCAGCAGAAGCCCCATGGAAGTATCTGGCTGTGGCTTTCAGTTGGCCTATAGCGGTGCTTGACATTGAACCTGGACCCATCCACCCAGGGACATCGTTTCGAAATGGCTCTGTAGTAAGGTAGAAGTAGCTGAACATATCCATAGTAACAATATAACAACATATAATGCTTCTGGAATACACATATGAAAGAAACTTGAAATAACGTAGAGCCTTGATAACCTTAACAGAACTCAAAATGCGGTGTGGAAGTGTAATTTTAGATTTGCATATGCAAAGTGCAGTGAAGGCTTATGGGAGAAGTGATACTACCTTATGAATACAGAGAAATCACTCATAGACTCAAGCTCTGAAGGTTAGTATTAGTGTATGGGGGGGCGGTAATAATATCCCAGTCTTATAATTTGTTTCATGCAATTCATTTTAGAGAAATTCTAAATTCATTTTTTTTAAAAAAGGAAAAAGAGTAAACATTTGCCAAGGGTAGGAAAAAAAAAAGGCAGTTAAGGTAAAATGGGTAAGATTTTAAAGGAAGAAAGGAGAGGAAAATGAAGGGCGAGCAGCAACTCATGAAGGGGTGAGAAGGAAGCAGTCACTTCCAAGTCAGGGGAGGGAAGCAACATGGTTGTTATGGGATGGATTTGGGGGCCGACCTGAAACTCTGCACACGCCGAGAACAGGAAAAGGGGCAGATGTGGACCGGTCCCAGGCAGAAGCCGGGGAAACGAGATTGTCACGCGCTTCCAATGTGGGCTTGATCCCTGATGGTAGGAAGATGCTCTAGAAGAGTCCACAAGCTCTGGGAGAATCTGCCGATGGGAGGTTTCAGATAAATGAGGGAGAGGATCTTAAATCAACAAAATCTATAAAATCCTAATTTGTAAATAAAACCCAAACCTGACAGAATCTAGGTTGAATATTGCTTGGGATTACTGGATTTTATGACACAATAGTTATTCTAGTAATAGACACAAAGCAAAAACCCAGATATCTGTTACACAAATGACGGTGTTGAGTTTTAAGTTGATGCCTGTGTCTTTACAGATTTACCTTATGAGCCTCCTCGAAGATCAGCCTGGACCGGCCATGGCCACCCCACCCCTCCGTCCAAAGGTACTAGACCTCCCCACCACAGGCTGGGATGACCATTGCTGGAGTAAATAAGTCTCTGTATTTGGTCTGTGATTCTTCAACACATACAGAGTTTGTTCCCTTGGTAAAAACCACAACTGATCTTTAAATACAGTGATTCTTTCTCTGTTCGGAGTAGAGAAACATAACAGAAAGGAAATGAATGAGGTATTGTCTTCTTCCTTCCTCCCTCCCTTATTCCCTCTCTCCTTCCTTCCTTCCTTTTTTTATTTTGAGGTACTGGGACTTGAACCCAGGGCCTCCACACTGAGCTACATTCCCAGCCCTTTTTAAAATTTGATCTTTTAACACAGGGTCTCACTAAGTTGCCCAGGCCTTTCTCCGTCTGTGATCCTCCTGCTTCAGTCTCCGAGAGTGCTGAAATTATAGGCGTGTGCCCCATGCCTGCCTGAGGTTGTGGGTTTCAGTGTGGAAAAGTGCATTTTCCTTGGGATATTTGTATGCAGGTTAAGTGGCCAGTGACTCCCTTAGTTTGGTGTGCATAAAAGTATCCCTGGCCTTATTTCATCTAGCAGTTTCCCTTTATCGGTTTACTTGAAACTATGACTTACTTTTTTTTAAGCTATGACTTACTTTAATCTGTTTTGTAAGCCATCTCAAGTTTCTTTCTATTTTTGGAAGAAATATGGTATATATTTTTAAAATAATAGGAAATGCCCTTTTGTCTTAGAAGGTTTGCATTTGATTTCATTTGAAAGGGAAATTTTCCCCACCATGAGATGCTTCTTCCTGTAAGACTGTTACGTCAATAATGAAAGCAATTGGTGGGATGATTATATGATCAATACTGTCAAAGACTAGTGGTCAGATCCGAGCTATAGCTAATAGTCTGCTTTACTTTTGGGTTTTCAGCTGCTCAGCCATCTCCTTCTGCAGTGCCCAAAACTGAAGATCAGCGCCCCCAGTTAGGTACGTTTTGGGGACCATCTGGACAACCGTGGAGCGGATGCAGGCTTCTCGGGGCATTTCAACAGTGTGTTGCTTTTAGATGGACTTAGCATTGTGTTCTTTCTCATGAGTGCTCCACAGACAAAATGGACCGAACCATCAGTCTGTTCGGTCAGGATAAGGAGATTTTGGTTGGAGATTTCCAATCCCTACGTGGTGAATGCAGGGGAAGCATTCTGTTTGCACATAGGCCACTTCTCTGTGACCTACGAATTACTTTAGTTTTGCTTCCTACGTCACATGCACAGCACCAGCACTTAGGGCCCGAGGAAATGCAGTGGAAGGGTGACGATGAACATTTGGCCAGAGCAGGCCTGGGCAGCACATGTTTCCCCTCCGTGTGCCGGAGTCAGCATGAGTTCCCGGCCGTGTGTTGGGAATCTGGGGAATCCAAGCTCTGCTGCCAAGTGAGAGGTCTCTAGCAAGAAAGGTCTCTGAGATCCCGCGTTACGTCTTATCTCACATAGGAGATGGAGGCAGGTGGCCTTGGGGTGGGGGGCATTTTCAGGCCAGAAGTCACCACTTTGTCTTTGGGATCTGACTTCTTTACTTTCTGTTGCAGACCCTTATCAGATCCTTGGACCAACAAGTAGCCGCCTTGCCAATCCAGGTAAGAGCCTGCTGGTGCGTCTTTTCTTACCCAGTTACCCTTTGGGCAGTAGTTATTCTGAAAGGAAAACTTGTATTGGTGAGAAATTTCCTTCAAATAAACAAATTTTAGTTTTAGGTCTCCCTGAATTATTCACCTTAGTGGAAAAAAAAAGTCAGGTTCTACATTAAGATTTTAGCTTCAGCAAAGAGCATTATTATCCAACCTAAGCTACGATAGTCTTCCAGTTTTCTGCTACAACACAGAGCTACAGACTGGGTGGGTTAAACAACAGAAATCCATTGTCTCATAGCTCTGGAAGCTGGAAGTCTGAGGTCAGGGTGCCAGGTGCAGCCCTCTGGAGGCTGAGAGACAGGATCTGTCTGGGACCCCTCCCCTGGCCCGTAGATGCCCATCATCTCCTCATGTCTCTTCTCCCTGTCTTTCCTCTCTATGTGTCCTTCTCTGTGTCCCAACTCCCCCTTTTTACAAGGTCAACAGTCATGTCGAAACAGCCCACTCCATGACCTTACTTTGACTTGATTTCCTACATGAAGGTCACATCCTGAGGTCCTGGGATCAGGACCTGAACATAAGAATTTTGAAGGGACACAATTCAACCCATCACCCAACAGATCAAATAATAGCTCTTAGAAAAAGACTCTTAATTCCAACCACGAGACTTCCAAGTAGGGTCGTCTCCCGTGGCCTGTTCCTGAGGGTAGCTGTGAGGAGAGAGGTGCAGGTTCTTAATTGGCCTGTTTATCACCGGTCCCTCGCCAAGGACTGTCACCTGTCCTTGCATTCTGTGCCAGCCAAATTGCTCTGTTTGTTTGTACTCAGATCAGAACCAGCTGTGCTGGCAGCAGTTTTAGAAAATCGCAGCATATGCTACGTGTTCCCCGCTGCAGATTCCCCCGCCAGGGTGACAGAGCCACATTTCGAGTGCAAGCAGGAATGTCTGTCTCCCACACAGCCAGACCCAGCCAGGGCTGGAAAACAACAGTAACAGCACAACAGAAAATTCAGATTCACTCGGCATCCGTCCCCACAGGAGAGTGCAGACTTTGAGAACATGCAATATTATTAGTAAGCGACGGGCTGTTTGACATGAAATTTTGGTTAATGTTAATTAATTCCATAAGAATTTTTTAAGCAGTTGGGCAGCTACAGGAACTGTTTCGCTTGCTGCCCTCGTCCAGGTCCAAACTAGGTGCTCAGTAATTTTCTGTTGAACGATTAAATGGCAAGAATAGTAAGACACAGGTCTTTGGCTCAGGGAGCTGGTACAGAGAGGGCCACGGGTGCTGACGACACTGTCCGGGGCCTGGTCACAGGGTCCCTGACATGAGTGTCCACGGGAGGCCACGTTTCCCGCGTGGATCCCTCTCGTACCTCTGCTCAGCCTTCCATTTGCAGTTGCCTGCAAACCATTCGAAAAAAAGTAATGAGCGGGGTTTCAAGATGATTATAATCACTCAGGCTTCAGGAAAACCGATCTGACAGCCTCGTTCAGGGCAGATTAGAAGGAAGGAAAGCACGGAAGCGGCAGTGCTCTGGGAATGTTAGTACAATGGTATGAAGTAACAGCCTAGCCGCTCCCACCCTGTGCTGCCCCCATAGATGTGCTGAGGCTCCTGGGTCCCTTCTGGGCCTCCTATCAACCCCAGATGTGAAATCCATCCTACAGAAGAGTAATCGGAGAGGCCCAGAGAAGCGGAGCAGCTTTCCCTGGGTCACACAGCTCAAGTCTGCGTCTTCTCAACCCACACAGCCCCCAAGTGAACAGGAAGGGAGGAGGGAGCTCCTGGGGAATGGGGACCTGTTGGGCAGCTGTCAGGAAGAGGAGGAGGAGTCCGGCTGCACCAGATGAGACAGGAGAGCTCTGTGCTCCCACACGGAGTGGAATCCAGGCCAGGCTCCAGGTGCTGCCTGAGTGTTTGGAGGATGTGGCCCAGAAGGTCACCTGTCTCTCCAGAGAGCGCCAGCTCTCCTGGATACACTGTACCTCCGGAGCATGGCCACCAGGGTGCTCACTGTAGGCAGAGGCACATGGCCGCAGTCCCAGGCCCAGACAAAGGTCCTGGCCACCAGGGTGGGCAGCACTGGTGTCGCAAGCAGAGGACGGCATCTCAGACCTTCGAGATCATTCCTGTGGGGCCCGGGAAAATGGTGACATCAGCCTCTGACCTGTAGTCTAGCTACTTTAACATTGAGATTTTTAAAAATTTAATTTATAGTGATGAGGGTTTCTGTCCATCTATCCTTAAGCCTTGTGTCATTTGTATTTACGTGGCCTTTTGTGTGTCTTTGATCTATTACTGAGGGTGCTTCCTCTATCTACCTTGCTATTCTCTGATAAATAAATCTTTCATCCTTTAAAAGTTGCCTTTAGCTGGGGCTGGTGATGCACACCTGTCATCCCAGAACTGTATGGCCGAGGCAGGGTCACAAGTTGGAGTCCAACTTGGGCAGCTTAGGGATTTAGTCAGATCTTGTCTCAAAATAAAAGCTTAAAGCTCTGTTTGGAGTTCACTGAGAAGGCCCTGGCTTCAGTCCGCAATCATGAAAAAAAAACCCCAAACACCAAAAAACTAAAACTACAAGAAAAATGATGTCTTTGTTCTTCATGCAAACTCTTTTAAATCATTCTCAATGCAAAGATTTCATGCTGCTTCCTGAAGGTGCCTATTAGCTTCCCAACATCCCAAATACTCGCTCACTGTGTGCTTCGGACACTACTTCTGCTGAGAAAAGTGTCCTTAAACCATGGTCTCACATGTCTGTCACAGGCAGCTCCACTCCTTATGTCCCATCCAAATGGCTGAGGATTTGAACTGAAATCACTTCTCCACCAAAGAGCTTTCTGGGCTGTGTTCCATGGCTCCCTGGATGCTGGGTGGATAGTCTTCAGTGTGTGGGGGGCAGGAATTTTCCAGGGGAGCCCACTGAGCTCCAGGCCCAGGGAGGGGACCACCTGGGAGGGACCCTGGAGACTGGGGAAGGGTGTGGAGTTATTGGTGCAGACTTATGCATGGCAGCCTGGAGTCTGGGTTTTGACCTCTGCTGACCTTGGGCCACGGAATCCCACCCACCTCCGTGGGCTCCTATTTCCTCCTCTCTGGAATGCTTTAATCAGATGATTCTTACAGGAATTAAATAAACTCTCACTTGTCAGTGTTTAGAACAGCATATGCCCACACTAAGCTACCAAAAGGTTTCAGCCGCCCCTGAGCACCATCCCACGCTGCCGTGGGGCCAACATGGTGACCCTTGGGGAAGTTCCCATCTCTCAGGAGCCCTTTCCTTAAACTCTGGTTCTCAGTGCACACGAACACGACCGACGGTTTTGCACAGAGCTCACTGTCAGAGTAATCCTGTCCCAGCCACACCCACTTGGCAGCTGAGGACCACAAAGCCCAGAGAGCTGGGAGATGGCTCAGGGTCCTGTCTGTGGTACTGCCAGGATTCATCCAGCATGGCGGTGCCCTTTCCAAAGTTGGCACCCGACGGCCCCCCCCCCAGCTGCCTGGACCATCCCAGCCTCAGGACAGAGGCCTCCCCACAGCACCCATCAACCCCAGCTTCTGCAGGAAGGGGCCCCACGCCATGCCCCTTGGTCCTGCCAGCTGAAGGTGACAGGCCCTGGTGTCATGGCTCCCACCAAACCCACACAGGCCACCCCAGCACCCATGGTACATCCTGGAGAATTCTTGCATGGTGAGAAAATGCAATCTACGTGTGACACACGCAGTGAATTTTTAATGAATATTCAGTGTGACAATTACTGAATTTGACAGTGTGTTACATTTTATAGTATCACCTTAAGCATTCATGGATTTCTACGACAGCTTTACTCTCAGGTTCGGAAGCTGATGGGATTTGCTCACAGATAACTTAGTTCTACATCGCAGGTTGGAATCCTGTGCTACCCTAGCTGTGGGTACAGTAGCCTAATGGGGAACCACCTTGTCCACCCTCTGAGCTCTGAGTTCCCAGCCATGAATGTAGGTTTCCCGCTGTCCAGCTCTTCCGAAGCAAGAGAGATGGAGACCACTTCTGTCCACTGCCACCTTCCTACACGTTTAGAAGGTCAGTGGACAAGGGACACATTCCTCAGAGGCGAGGCCAGGGCTTCAACAGGCACCAAGTGTTATTCTGGCTGCTTACGCAGGGCTATGTATTTTCACCAAATCTGTGGAATTGCTTTCTCTATGGGAGGAAGTCAACACTGAATATTTATTTTCAAACAACTGTATATGTTTACAGGGAAGCATATGTTAGACTGTTAAATCAAAATTCTATGGTTCTTCCTTATTCTCGGGTTATCTATGGAATTTTTTTCAAGTTTTCATCCTTTGGTTACAATGTATTTACTAAAACCATATGGCCCCTTCATATCGTGCATATTAATGAAATGTTGGAGGCAACAAAACTTGAGGGAGAATAGTTTGTATATGTAGTTCTGAGAAAGCAGCGAAGGCTTCCATTATAATGAGCTACAAGCTGTTAATACATTTCAAATGTGTTGCTGGTCTGAAAATGATGCTTTCCCAGTGCATATGCAAAAGAGGCTGACCTTCTCACGAAGCTGTTGCATGGACGAAGTTCACAAACGTCCATTTCCACGTAGCCAGTGTGGAAACAAGGATTTATGAGTTGGACAGTTTATATAGGGAGCTATAGACATTTTTATATCAGGAGAAAAACAATTATTAATGATTTTCACAGTTCATCAATTCCCTGGTGAGTCACAGGTTGAAGTTATTTAATTGTTGCCACGTCTACTGATATTACTTATATCATAAAAGGCATTTGTGAAATAATCCCAACGCAATGTAGTGAGGTTTGGGAAAGAGACATGTATTCCCTTCCATCTATGTTTATCTTCTAAAATCTGTATAACACACCAGCTTAGCTTCTCCTGGTCCTCAACTTCGAGGCCGATGTTTACCTACTTCTCTCCCTTGGGGAGCCTTCAGTCAACTTTGTGGCCAGAATGATGTGCTTAGATTTTTCTGATTGAAGAACACATTAAAGCCATCTCTACAGGCTTTCGGTGGGACCTTGTACCCCTGGCTAAGTGAGATCTCTCACTCAGAGATCTCAGTGAACTGCAGTAATGACCAAGGCAGGCTCTCCTCTGGCTGCCCGAGGAGGCTTGTCACAGTCCGTGATTGTGCGGCGTCTTTGGGGACCTCTGCCTCACACAGTTGGCGCTGTGACATGGGGCAGCATGTGGATTTCCATGAGGATGCATTTGCTTCCATACCGGAAATGGGCAATCTCCTTGGAACCCAGCCAGCTTTTTCTAAACTTCCTCATTTTGAGTGGGTTAATTCTCTTCTAGGAAAACTTTTGACAGGATTGCTTTGTGAGCGCCAGCAAAATGTTATGTTAGAAATAATGATGTTTGCTTCCATTCTCTATCTTTTTCCATAAACTTTTAGATGTTCATTTCCTCAGTCTGACTTTTATTATTTTACGTGACCTAGCCAACATAAACAGTACACCGTCATCATTGCCATTCCCCAGACGGGCATTTACTGCCTCAAAAAATAGGAAAAAATAGCTCTTTCATTCCTAAAGCTCCAGATTGACCTGGCTGTTCTTTGAAGGAAGTCATAAATGGATGGACCCACCCTGACCTTCGCCCCCTGTGAATTCCCTGCATTCCTCCAAGGACTTGGGTTTGTTAGCTCAGCCCAAGTGGGCAAGGATGGTGGCCATTTTAGGCCAGGTTTCCTAGATGCAGAGCTGGGGGTAAGGATTCGGCACAGGCCACTCACTCAGGGCGTCTTCTCCAGAGGGAAGGTGTGAGGGAGAGCCTCCTTCAGCCTGGTCCTTCCGGAGCTGGGTCTGTCCTGGAGGAGAGAGCAGCCTGTGCTTCTCTGTGTTGGTCTGGCTATGGGGTTCCCGGGGTGGACAAGGCAGCCCCTGTCCAGCGAGGCCCAGTTCCCTGGAGACATGGACAGGCAGGGCCCAAGAGCACTCAGGCCCAGGGACAGGCCCAGGCCCAGGATGCTCACCGGGACGCCCCGCTTCTGTGGTGAACGAGGGGATGACTTCCCCCAGAACCGGCTCTCACTGGCTCTTTATGTCCCCTGTCACCCTCAGGCAGTGGCCAGATCCAGCTGTGGCAGTTCCTCCTGGAGCTCCTGTCCGACAGCTCTAACTCCAGCTGCATCACTTGGGAGGGGACCAATGGGGAGTTCAAGATGACCGACCCCGATGAGGTGGCCCGCCGCTGGGGAGAGCGCAAGAGCAAGCCCAACATGAACTACGACAAGCTCAGCCGCGCCCTCCGCTACTACTACGACAAGAACATCATGACCAAAGTCCATGGGAAGCGCTACGCCTACAAATTCGACTTCCACGGGATTGCCCAGGCCCTGCAGCCTCACCCTCCCGAGTCCTCCCTCTACAAGTACCCCTCGGACCTGCCATACATGGGCTCCTACCACGCGCACCCTCAGAAGATGAACTTCGTGGCTTCCCACCCCCCTGCCCTCCCTGTCACCTCCTCCAGTTTCTTTGCTGCCCCAAACCCGTACTGGAATTCCCCGACTGCGGGCATCTACCCGAACACTCGACTTCCGGCCGGCCACATGCCTTCCCATCTGGGCACTTACTACTAGAGACCCCACGGAGGCCTCTCCCACCGCCGCGCTGCCACCACAGATTGCCAAGGACTCTATGGGACAACAGGGTTCAGAAGTGCCTCAAGAGGGGGCAGTAGCTTGGCTGGGGCTGGGAAGGGGTCCAGGAAAGAGTCCTAAAGACTCGCAGCGGGGAAGGAGTCACTAAAGTATTACTACAGACAGACATAAAGGATGCTCGAAGCGTTAATGAACATGGACGTGTCACCTGCGGCCAACCTTGCTGAGGACATTGAAGCATGACGTCGAAAGGACGCATGCCAAAGGGCATGGCCTTAAATAGTGTAGAGCATAGAGTAGAGTTTGGGGACCCGCTCCTGAGAACCGGGATCCAACTAAAGCAATAGAGGTAACACAGTCTTGGCCTAGCACACCGTTTAGAGTGTCATGGAAGGAAAACTACCTGTATTTAAAAACAGAAACATATCAAAACCAGAAGACCAGAGAGAGACTGGCCCCACACGGAAGCTGGTATGGGACTCTGCGGTGCTTGCTGTTTTGGTTGGAATTGGACTCATCTCCTTCGATGGGAAGCAAGCAGCTCACTCCAACTGTGAAGATGACCAGTTTCTATCCCCTTTATGGTATTTCAGGAACCACGAGCCAGGTGTTGGACTGAGGATGTGAACAGAGAGTGAGCGTATGATGGCAGATGGAGGAGGAGGAGGAGGAGGAGGAGGAGGAAGTGGGAAGAAACTTCTCTGGGTTGAGGACAGTTGAGACCACAGAGAGTGAGCGGTGGGATCCATGGTCTAGTGTAGTCAGTGTTATACCAAAGCTAGTATTAGGAGGAAGGACACAGCCTCACGGAGGGAGGGGGAAGTAGAATTCAGGACCAAAAACGCGCATCTCTTTTTATCTTTGTCAAAAGAAAATTTAAACTGGAATTGTCTGATATTTAAAAGAAGCGTTTAGGACCTCAGCATTTTGGGGGCTCTGTCCCCACGGTCAGGTAAGACATGGCCTCCGTGGCCACCGCAATCAGATCACGTATGCCTTTAGGGTAGGTGGGCTCCAGTTTTCCTTTTTGAGTCGCGAACGCTGTGCGTTTGTCAGAATGAAGTATACAAGTCAATGGGGTTTTTTTTCTTTTTTATATAATAATTATATAACTTATGCATTTATACACTACGAGTTGATCTCGGCCAGCCAAAGACACATGACAAAAAAAGAGACAATCAATGATGTAATGTGGCCTTGAATTTTAACTCTGTATGCTTAATGTTTACAATATGAAGTTATTAGTTCTTAGAATGCAGAATGTATGTAATAAAATAAGCTTGGCCTAGCACGGCAAATCAGATTTACACAGGAGTCTGCATTTGCACTTTTTAGTGACAAAAGTTGCCTAATAGAAACTTGTGCTGAATGTTACGGGTTCTGTGTTATCATTTCACTGGGGGAACTTACACAGCTGAGCACCACGCAGACAGGATCCCTCTTTCACGCTGTCTTGTTCCTCGCCGCTTGCGCAACAGAAGGACCCAAGTTTCACCTTGGAGCCTCCTTTTTATTCCTAGAAGGGAAAAGCGCCTCTAAAGCTGAGGTTGGACTGAGAGAAACTGCAGTTTAGCATTGGTCACAAATCACCCTAATTCCCGCTAGGGTCCTAAAACATATGTTGAATGGTGAAGAGACACTGCTCTTAACACAAGCTGTATTTATTGTTATTATTGGTAAGTAAATCACCAGGGGAAACTACAGTTTCCCACTTCAAAGCAGCAAGGGACAGCTTCTGAATTTACCACTTGGCCTCTCTCTCTAAGCCTCTCACGGGCTAGATGGTTGCTGTAACCTCCCACACCAGAAAGATCCAGGCACCATGGCTTGGGGCTCCCCAGCTGTGGGCCAGAGTTTCCCAGCTTTCTGTTGCTATGATCCAAAGTTAATTTCCGGGGTGTTACAAGTGCTGCCCACTTTGGCCAAGGTGAAGGGGATGCAGCAGGTGTGACCCCAATCAGCTATAAAAAGGAATTAGTCTCCACACCTTCTCTGCCATAATCAGTTGCTGAACTGGTTGTATCACAGCAGTGTCAGGGTTTTTTTGCACATTGTAAACCCTTTGCTGCGATTACACAAATGGCAAAGCTCTGTGCTGCGGATGTATCCGAAGCGGTCTTAGAGTCAGTAGGATATGGTTACCCAAGCTTCAGATGCCCCTCGTTACTGGGACTGAAGGGAAGCCAGCCACCAGTCATGTGTGGCAGCTTGGGAAAGCCCCACAATGTGCCTGCATCTCCTTAGAAAAAAAGAAGCAAAAGGAGAAGAGCTAGCAGCTATGGGGTGCCCCACATGGTTCTAATGGAGATCAGTCATTTTTTCTTTTGGCATACAAAGCCAGACACACCTAGACTCTACAGATACTAAATACAAATGTACTTGGGTAATCACTCCGTTCTTCAAGATTAAATTATGAGCAAAATAATCAAAACAAGGCATGATTTTCATAATCAATTCTAACAGATGTTTCCAGTTAGATTCCTACCCCACACCCAGTGCAGGTTATTAGCAAGTCTCAGGACACACATGAGCAACCAGGAATAACTTTGGGATAACATGATAATGTTGAATTCCCCTGAATAAATAACTTTTCAACTGTCTTGCGACAACATCATGCACTGCTCCGGTCATGACCAAGTCGAATTCCAGAGCCCTCCCTGGGTCATCTTCATCATTGCTCAACCTTACCTCGATGAGTGTGGCTAGTCTCATTTTCATGTTTGCCCTGATTTAGGATCATGATCCCTACATAACCTCATTCCCACTGGCAAGGGACTTGGCAATAGTCTTTTAACTTGAATGTAGTGAAATCCCTAAGTCTCAGTCCAGACTTTATTTCTGATTCCAGTTGTTGGCCCCATTGCGTGCTGGGGTGGGCAGGGTGACAGGGTTTGTCAACACTGGTGTGGTGGCTGAAGTGCCTGTCCCCTGGAGCATGGGCCCCAGTGGCTGCCCTTGGATGGTAGGCCAGCCTGGACAGCCAAACTTGCTAGCTGGGAAGTGACAGCAAGAGGAAAACTCGATGTCCTGCAGACCCCAAGCAACCCCTCATCTGTGGGAAGAGAACAACGTCTGTTTGTGCAAACCCAGTTTCACTTGTCTTCCCTCTGCCCTATAAAATTATAAGATGACTAATCAGAAGCACTTGTGCTCAGTGGTATCACAAGTTCTGTATCTTGTCCTTATTTTAGCCTGAGTTTCAAAAGTCAAGATGTTTTCCCACCCAATAGGAAAGGCTGGATGTAGAAATGGGAGGAATAACAAGCGTTCCTGAAGTGCACACTGTCAGAAAAGCCAGCTGTGTCTCAACAGCACAATAAGCCCCGTGTCCCAAGCCTCCCTCTCCGACTGGCGATGTGGTCCTCTATGAGCAAATCTGAGAGTGCAAATATGATCAACCTGAAGCTGCTTAGGGCAGAAATGGAAGGACGAATGCTAAATTTCCATTAGTAGTTCTATGTTCTTTGCTTTTGACTTTTAGCTAACAACAATAAATGACAAGTTAATGCTATATTGAAACCAACAAACTTTTCTAACTCATCATTGCAATTTTAAACTCTTACTAAGTAAAATATCATTTTTCTCACAAATTTTTTACAAACTATTATTCAGTTAAAGTAAGCCATATTAATTGATTCTTACCAATTAATTACACACTTGTACAGGAAGCATGTTCTGTGTAGGAACTTTATGAAAAAATAAATGAATTTCTCATGTTTTGTAGCAACATAGCATGTTCTCTAAGGAAAATAATATAGAAATGGTAGCCAGAATTTCATTCTGAGATGACTTAAAGTAGTTCAGAGACTTTTACAAGGTTAGTATTGGTTGAATGAGGATGACTACAGAGTATAATTAAAAGATCAATGCCCATCTAGCAGGGAGGTTGGGGTTAAACCCCAGCCTCTGCCTTGAAATGTCTCATTCGTACTGTTTTAGCCATTTTCCTTATCAATGAGACACAGTACCAACACCCACAACTTAAAAGAGGAGAGGTTTATGTAGGCTCATGGTTTCAGACGTTTCAGTCCATGGTCAGCTGGCTCGAAGGCAGAAATGGTAGAAGAATCTGGCAGGCACGAGCTGCTTTCATCATGGCTGCTGAAAAACAGTGAAGGAAGAGCCAGGAAGGGAGATAAAACCTTCTAGGCCACGTCCCCAGTGATCCACCTCTTCCACCCAAGCCCTGCCTCCTAACACCAAGTCAGCTATCAGCCCCCATGATTCAATCACCTTTCAAAGTTGCACCTATGAGCACATGAGGCCTTCGGAGGACTGAACACAACTGCAGATGCCATTGAGATGAGAAGAATGTCAGTTATATAACAAAGTCAGGGTCCATGATGATCTAGATGTTCACAATGTTGAGACCTCCATCCATGTCCAGAACATCTGGGAGGTGGACTGAGCACCAGCACACCTGAAGAAGATGTCAGGATCTTGGATGTAGCAGCAATGATATGTAGACGAGCTCACACCAGATGAGTGTGTGAGTCAGACCCTGCACATGCCTTATTTCAGTTCTTCTTCCACTCTCTCCATGATATAATTAAAAATCCTGACAGATAAACAATGTACCTAGCTCTCGTAAGAGACGGAACTAATGACTCCAAACTCAGTACTACCTCATTCCGTCCTATCTGATTCCCAACCTCAACTCTTACTCTCAAGCTATTTTGCCTCATGCAGACAGAAAATCTAATGGGAAGGTGATATGGTTGCTAATTTTATATTTTATAAAATAGATTGAGAGCAGAGCATTGTGCATATGCCTGAAATCCCAGCACTCAGAAGACTGAAGATCAATGCAAGCTCAAGGCCAGCCTGGGCTACATAGTGAGTTCAAGGCCTGCCTGAATTACACAGTGAGACCCTGTCTCAAAAAGATGAGGTGTGGGCCAGGGATTTAGCTCAGTGGTTTCGCTGCCTGCTGCGCAAGCACAAGGACCCGAGTTGGATCCCTGGTACCGAAAAAAAAAAAAAAAAAAAAGATGAGGTTGGGGGGGATGTGTTTATTCTGCATTGAATACATTCCACTACCAGTTCTGAGCCTCCCATTTGAAGAGTGGCATAAGCCAGCTCGTACAAGTTCCGAGGAGAGAGACCCATGGAGGGAGGGTTGAGTATCTCTGCCAGGAGTGGGACTGCATGTATGGCCCACTGAGTCAGGACCAGCACAGTGCACTATGGTGGACAGCTATGTTACTGATCAAACATGTAGAAAGGTGGTGGCTGGATTAGGGATGAGCTTGACAAGGATTCCCATTGGCCAAGTCATGCAGGAACACATTGGCAGTTGGAGGAACTCTAAATGGAATGGGTAACTTCTGTCCAGGAATTCCCAGGCAGAGATAAGGACTGTGTGACTCTGCTGGGTGTTCAGCAGCTCATGGACTATCTGGTTATTCGTCTTCCCAGTTCTATGCAACATGGATTCTGCAAAACATTTCAGTGTCTGAAATGAATGATGGATGGCATAGTGGTTTCACGAGGGACCATTACCACCTAGTCCTAAGGGGCAGGCACACATTAGGGTTTAGACATCACCGGCATTGGAATCCCCCCAAATTCATTTGTGGTGTGGCTCCATTTCCAGACTGACTTGAGCCTAGTCTGCCTAGAGATGAAAAACACCTCCTCTCTGTTGAGCAGGACCCAAGTGAATGGAGAGAAGCAGCTGGCTGGTGGGTCTGCTGAACATACTCTCGCTTCAGAGGAAGCCGCCCACCTATGGCACTCTTGTATAAAGGCATACTTTGTGAGGATTGTTGGTCACAGCCTGCTCAGCACTAGACATGGCTCAGCTAGGAGTGTCAGCCTGCCTTGAGAACCCTCACTGAACTCCAGATTAACCATGTCCACCTCCAAGTAGGCAGAGGAGGCTGGGAGCCAAGACTGGCTTTCTGTCTAAGCTCACAAGGGACAGACTAAGGAAAAGTTGAAAGCGTAGGCTGAATGTGTAAGAAAGAAGTTATGAAACCATTTGTAAAGAATCTGGACTAGAAAGCCAGAATATTTTAAGAAGTTACTTTTTGTTTTCTAAATTCTCTTGTTAATTTTTTGGTTTTATTTTTACTTGGCAGGAATATAACAAACTGTGTGTGAAAGGTTGGAAGTGAACTGATGGGTAACTTCCTCACTCTTCTTCTGTTCAGGTGAAGGGGTAAGAAAAGGCTAGATGCTCGGGCCCTAGCTTCAAAATGCCCTCAGGACAGGGAGCAAGACACTGGCCAGAGGGAGAAAGTGGATTCCAGTATAAATAACTGCGATGAGCAGGTTTCAGGTCAGAAAGGAGCCTCACAATGGCAATCATTTTCTCCTCTGAACAATACAACTCATCACTACTATTTTTTGTCATGATAGTAACAG